AGTGTCCTCCCTGAGGTAATGGCATCAAGGTCTTTTCATCCTCCAGGTTTTTTCTTCAAGGATTGTCTTCTGTCATATAAAAAGTCAGGTAGCAAAAACTGGCTAAACTAGTGAGAAGACTGAAGTGTAGTTTACTCATATTTTAATTCCTGCAGTCATAGCAGAATTATTGGTGAGTTAAGCACATTAGAAGGTCCTTTACCAACTCTTCTCCTATGTTGTGCTTACCCTAATTCATTAATAATATTATATTCTTGTCAACATGTTCCCTACCTATGCCAGTGTGTTAATAATCCTGAAGAGGTGCATTACAGCAGTTAGAATACTAGAATTCTTCATGTTTGGCTCAGTTCAGCACACAATTAGACAACACTGCACTTACATTGAGAAAGTTTTCTTGAAAGACTAGAAAATCAAGAAATGTACTTTGTGAGAAGTGAAGGAGGACAACTGTAGATTTTTCTAGTGATGAAGTGTCTGTCAGAAAATTGTATTTTTCATCTGAAAAGCACTACAAACCTTTCTGGTGCCAAAGGCAATCAATACTCTGGCTCTTCTCTATCCTTCATATAAATTTAAAGTTGTCCACACAAGTTTACTAGTCCATGTTTTCTCTGCTCAGATAGCTGCTGTTCCACAGTTTAACACTGGAGTGGTACCTTCCAACACAATTTTGGATGTTTTTTTGGGGAAGAAAGGAAAAGGAGAAAGGAGTCCCTTTGCACAGTAGGATTATTTGCTGTGCATATTGTGGATAAATGGAGTTAAAACCACTGCAATCAAAGGTCAAATGAACAGCTCTTCCAGAGTAGTGGAAGCAGTGATCTTTCTAAGCACAGACTTGATGGTCAGTACTTATGGTTATGACAATGACTAATTAATATAATGAAACTTACAGTAACAGGAGAGTCAGAAAAAAGGTTAATGAGATAACTAGGCTTCATTGATCACAAAGATCTAATGTGAAGGTTCAAAGAAAACAATGTAATTAGGTTTTAAGTTCTTTCTTGATTTCCCTTTGTGTAAATCTATATTGTTTTAGAAAAAACATTTATGTGTCTTACATTGATTAGTTTGCAAGTAGTATACATAATGTTGATTTATTTTTCTTCTAAGAATAAAATCTTTAGGATTTTTTAACTTTTGAATTGACTGGTAGAATAATAAGGAATTTTGAGCTTCCTTTAGAGTCTTAATACAGATAATGAGTACTGTAAAATACATGTTTTATGGTGAGAAAATTCAGTCTAATCTTACACAAATAATACAATAAATATTGTAAGCAGTATTATAATGAGTTGGGTTTTTTTACTCTTTTTTATATAAACTATAAAAAACTCAAAATGCGAAGTTGTAATGTGGCAGGAGTAGCTGTTTCATTAAGTAATGCTATTTATTAGCTTTTATAAAATAAAACTTTCAAAGTGCATAATTTTGTGACTATATTATACTGAGACTATATGACAATATGAATCTGAACCTGTCATTTTAATTTTTTTTTTTCTCCACATATCTGTGATATTCAAATTCCTTCCACCAGGTATTTTTACCTTTACTCTTGTTGATATTACATATCAGAAATCCCATGAACTAGAAACTGTTCTAAGTTAATGATAGGTGTATATGACAGGCTTGGTATCACAGAAAACAAAGAGGAGTTATGTAATCCATTCTCACATAAAATATTTATATGTCAGCTCCATGGTTGCTTTATTAAAACCTGTCTTAGCTTAATTTCTATTT